TAAAATAAAATAAAATAAAATAGAATATCCCAAACAAACCCAATTAGAATTGACAATAACATTTTTTTAAAAAAAATTGAATCAAAATTAACAATGATCAATAATTTATTTTGTTTTGTTCAGGCCAGGCTGGCTTGCTGGATGGGAGTTGAAGTCCAGCCTCTCTGGAAAGTAGCATTTCCAGGAGAGCTAGATGTTTGCATTGGAAGAGACTTCCTTCTGTGCATCCTGTTCATGTAAATACTCGAGAAACAGCTTAAACAGGATTTAGACGCGAGATCTAGCTTGGTTCACGCGATGGAGAAACCCTCCAACCAGCTAAAAGTCCGTAGAGATTCTCAGTCATCCGGATCGTGGTTGTCCCCAACGTGCTTTTTCAGGAGGCCAACTGGACTTTCAAGAAACAAAGAAGTCCAGCTGCCTCCTGAAAAAAAACGACTTTGGGACGTCCAGCCAGCTGTTTGCGCTGGGGATGCCATCTTAGAGAAAAGCAGTGAAGACTTCCTCGTCTATTACCCAAGGAGAATACTGTATTTTTCGGAGTATAAGACACACTGGAGTATAAGACGCACTAAGATTTTGAAGAGGCAAATTTGGAAAAAAAAAAAGTTTTCGCACTCTGCAGATCTCCCAAAAACGCACCATTTTTCACGTTTTTTTTTTTTAAAGGGCATGAATAGCCTTTAGGAGGCTTGTAGAATGCTCCTGGGAGGATGGGGGGAGCCCAAAAACAAGCAAAAGATGGCCCATTTTTGCCATTTATTTAAAAAAAGAGCATGACTAGCTTTTAGGGGGCTTATAGAGTGCTCCTGGGGGGGTGGGGAGCATAATTGAGCAAAAAAGAGCCCGTTTTTTGCTCTTTTCTACCTTCCCCAGCCCGCAGGAGCACTCTGAAAGCCTCCTAAAGGCTATGCATGGCCATTTTGGTGAAGGAGGTGGGGTTTCGGGAGGCAAAAAAAATATATGCCGTATTCAGTGTATAACACCCACCCAGATTTTCAGCCTCTTTTTTGAGGAAAAAAGATTCGTATTATACTCTGAAAAATACAGTATTTGTAGCTCAGGGTTGAAATCTGGGGTCAGTGCTCTCTAATTTCGTGCTCCGACACAAGTGATGAGCTGAACACACCCATCCTGGCCACATCCTCCCCGGGCCCCCTGAGGTCAAACATAACCCTGATGCGGCCCTCAATGAAATTGAGTTTGACACCCCTGCCCTAGTAGAAGGCAAGGCCGCTCCCTTGTCTAATCTCAGGGCTCTTTCAATTCTGTGCTTTGGTGATCCCCTCCTGAATTAACCCTTGCTTCTCCTTTGGCCAGGCAAGACAAGCTGAAGATCCACATGCGGAAGCACACGGGGGAAAGGCCGTACCTCTGCATCCACTGCAGCGCCCGCTTTGTCCACAACTACGACCTGAAGAACCACATGAGGATCCACACCGGCATCC